TGGATGCCTTTTATGCAGTTCTATTTATTCTCCATTTCTTGAAGAAAATCATCCCAAAGCCTAATACAGCCACTACCATGTGTCAGTGTGATAGTTTAAGAGTGATGAGTGGTTTAACATTTTCACACAAGGGTCAAAAGTTTTCATTTTTGCTTCTTTTTACCAACAGACATTTTTCCTGATGGTTGCTGTATTCCGTACATGGCTTCTGACCTGTCGGTTTACTTGGATGGCTTTATATTGCAACATGTGGGATTTCTAAAAATTGCATTTTTTTTTATCAGAGGAAAGTGGGTTGAATGCCATTGCATACCACACTTTGTCATTGGTCTTGCATGAAATCCTAATAAAAATATTGGCGTTTGTGGCATAAGGTGTTTGGAAGGCTCTGTAAAATATTTATTCCCAATTTGGTGAAGGAATGGTAAACTGATTCTGTGCTGTTAAGTGACTCAAGTTTCAAGAAAAAAAGTTTTACAATGGAAATGTGTTTCCACTCTTCATAAACAATGGTGAAAACACAGGTAACCTAGAAAGTGGCTTTCATAACACTTGTACTAAAAATCTTTGGACTGTCCTGAATTATTTAAGTATTTCTACAGTGGAACAGAAACAGCCTTTGTTGTCCCCCATTCAGTTGTAATGGCAGAATGAAACAAGCATGCAGCTTTGAAATGTCTGGAATTTTTGCCATAAAGATTTTAAGGATTTTTTCCAATCAGACAAAAATATTTTGCCTAAAGCTATTAAACTCTCAACAGATACATATTTAAAGCTTTAAAATAAACATGATCCATTTTCAACACTGTCCTGACCTCAAGAGAAACTGCTCATGATCCTATTATTTCCTGTGGAGCACAGTCTGTTAAGTTCACGAATCACTCCAAAGCGGAAAGCACTAATAAGATTAGCATATGTTAATTACTGCTTAATGAGGTTAACTCCTTGCAGACCTGGGATTTAGGATTAAATACTGAAAACATTTCAATGTGTCAGCACTCAAGTCCCAGTGATGGCACTATGGGAGCAGAGAGAGAGAGTCCTCCAGGCCAGGGCAGAGAAACGGTGAGCAAGGAGAGAGAAGAAGAAAAGAGGAGCGCCATGGAGAGGGAGACACAGACAAGATGTTGGCCCTCAGGGTTAGATGGAGAAAGTGCAGAGAAAAAAGTTGAGTCTGGGCGAGTAAGTGAGAAAAAGGAGAGGCGAGAGAGGTTTCTGCGCTAACCCGACCCCTCGGCCTTCACAGAGAGCCTTTATGAGGCCCGCTCGCAGCTCGTCTCAGCACTCAAACTCCAAATTCCACCGAGGTTTGTGGACAGGATGGCAGCAACCTGCTGCAGCTCCCGGGGAAAAGCTTCATTCAGCAGAGATGGGGGTTAGGCACACACACTCACACAGATGCACACACACTTATTCATGCATACAGTTGGAAAGATGTAACCCTCACACATCTATCTTTCAGTGGCAGAAAACCAAGAAACATCTGCTGCTATTTTGGAACCAGGGCACAAATAAAACCAATCATGAAATGCTTATCTGATGTATTTTTTGCATGTTACCACAACAAAAATACGGATTAAATATCAGTCCCATCTCTGACTTCAGCATGAACTTGATGCACTTTGCTGAGGGAGTTGACTGGTTGGCATTGCTGCAGAAATAGACCGATCAGGAGAAATCCAGCACAGCTAGACTGAAAGAAGGACTTTTCTAAAGACAGCACAGAGCTTTGCTTTTATACAGGCCATCACAGCGTACAGTGTTTGTGTCTTTCCTCCAGACTGCCTCCTTGTTATGTTTGGCTACATGTTAGGCATGCCTGATATCCAGCGATTCTACCTTTTCTCCCTCAGAAGCCTCAAGCAGACCCAATGATTTTCCCTCTGCTGGAGACTATAACTGCCACATTCACACTAACATCATGTTTTTGTGAGTGTAAAGGTTTTTAGTTAAAAGGACGGAAAATTATTTGTGCAAATGATTTGAAACATTCCAAAGATCTTTGCTGCAGAAGCACCTGTGCCTGGGAGGACTTGTGCATTGAAGAAATGCAATTTAGCAGCTTCAAGTTTGAGCAAGGCAAGTCCTTAAACATGCATTTTTTAAAATTATTGAGCCCCAAACTCTCTGCAACCCATTCTTGAAGCTTACGTAAGTGAATGAAATTCCCAGTAGTAAAAAGACAATGAAAGAAAACTACTGCAGTGATGTGAAAGCGAGGCATCTATGCCAAACCGGTTGGTGTTACGGCACCTGTTTAAAACCTGAATGCCTCTGTTTTTAAAAGGGTTAACCATGCACCTCAGCCTGCCTAATCCCCACTACCAGCATGAACACAGCACTAAGAATGCTTACCTCAGTCTCCTGCTTTCCCGAATGGTCCCTTCAGCCGTGATGGAGATGCTGAGGGCTCCGAGACTTGGCCAATGGTGAGAGGTCACACAGGTAGCCTTGAAGAAGAGGGAGTGTAGGTGATGGTGGGGGTGAGGGGGAAAGATGTGTGTAGATGTGACAAGTGTCTAAGTGTAAGTGTGTGTGTGTGTGTATGTGTAGGTCTGTGTGGACCCGAGTGCCCTGCCGCTTATGTGTGAAGGTAGGCACTGAGACTGATTGGACAGGGGCGATTGCTTTTGGTCACTCAGAGTGCAGCCCCCCCTCACATTACCCCCCTCGTGCCGTACACCCGCTTGCACAATCACCTCAAACAGGACACACACACACTTCAGACACAAAGGGAAATGGAGAACAACCAGGAAGTGGTGGCTTATCCCTTACAAGCGTACCTTCTATTTTTTTTTTTTTTGTCGAATCAAACTGAAATATTTGTCCTTCTTTTCCTGAGGTGAAACTCTGGCATGTGTTGCTTTCATGTGCGAGGGATCCAGGAGGCCCTTCTGCACAATGGGACCTCTGTGAGGAGCTCCTGTTAGCATGGTGCTGAGAGGAAGTCTCAGCTCAGAGGACGGTCTCTGCCCTCCCTCCTTTATAGGTGAAGCAGATTTTTCTTTGCGTCGTCGCTTGCCCAGATCAACGGAAACCCAAGATAAATTCTTTTTATTTTCCTTTTCCAGCAAGAAGGTGTAGCAGCAATCACCTCTTGGCTTTTACTGGTTATCAGACACTTCACTTCAGCAGACCTAGAGCCGATCTCTTTAATTCAGTCATATTAAACCACTAATTTAACTCTGTCAACATAGTAATTGTTCTATGGTCTTTTTGTTGTTACTTTGGTCACTGTTAATAATTTGCTTCTGCTCAAAATTTCTTTACGCTCATAATAGGAAATATAATACATCTTTTATTATTAACTTCTTTCTATAGTTGCACCAAAATCCATTTCTGATTGGCTGCTTGGTACCTTGTGGCCACACTTTACTCAAAGCTGTGCTGCACTGAAACAACAAGAGAACCAAGAGAGAAACCAAAGCCGGGCCTGATCACTCTGTAGTGATTCAGTGGATGTAATTGTTTTACACAATGGTAAATTGATCTACAAACACATCAATCTGTGTTTAAGGTTGCAAGGTGGGGCCCAGTTGCCTTTCATCAAGAAGAGTCTCTGTTTAAATCCCAGCTTGGGCCTTTCTGCATGAATTTTCAATGTTCGTCCTGAACAAACATGCATGTCGAACAGTTGTGACTTGTACTTTTCTAGTTCCACCATGATAGACTGGAGATTTCCCAGGATCTATTGCCTCTGAATCATTGACTGATGGAGACAGGCGCCATCACATGTTACAGTATGCAATGAAAAACCAATTCAGTCCCAATGAGAGAAGTGAACAACATATCTAGTTGGACAAAAGACTGACACCTTGTACCATATCTGGTGTTTTTTGATACAAAATCCCCTGAAGTCTCCAAAATTTGTCCCTCTCTTGTTTCAGTCCTCATTCCTCCATTGTTCTCCAGTTGGGGAAAACAATGAGAAATAAGCCCTTCTTCTATTAAATGATAATTCAGTGGAGAAGTAAAATAATTGTAATTTTTGATTGTTTTTAAAGATTACAAAATTGGTTTGCTTTACTCACATTGATGTTAGTGTAGTAGGTTTTTTTAAGGCTGTCATGATTTTTTTAGTCCTTTTTTTAAAGTGTTAACAGAACACACACACATGAACACCTACACACACACATATATTTCCCCAGAGTTTTGTCTCAACATGCTGCCTGTTGCTCATCCCACGGTAACTCTAGATCTTTTGATGAGTGAGAGACAAAGGATGGAGTGGGAAAGCTGAAAATCTGTCTGCACCTGCTATATGAGCTAAGATTTCTATCCAGAAGCTTTCTTTTTTTCCATTTGAAGTTTCTAAACGAGAAAGAGGTTCAAATTAAATCTTCAAAGTACCATCTCTTGAGAGGGCGATGGATAGATTGCATGACAGTCTATCCATCGCATGAAATGCTCTAAGTTAATCTCCTCTGTTAAAGTGTTCACGATGGCCCTGTTTACTTTCACTCGCCCAGCAGTAAATGCATACTGCCAGCCTGACTCAAATGGCTTATGATGCCTAATCCTGCCGAAATCTCTTGAGATTTTCTGGAAAAAACCAACAAAACAGCTAAGTGTTTTTGAAGTTTTCCACTGCAAACAGTTATTGAGCAAGTTGAGGTTCGAGCAGCAGCAAAACTAGAATACTATGGTGTGTAAAACAACTTTTTCTTGGTTGCCACAGTAAAAATATTCTGCTTAGTAATATTTCTGGCTAGAAAAACTCTCTCTGAATCTGTGGTAAACTGTTGACCACAGGCAGATTATATTTGCAGAGAGCCTGACTAGTTTGCCAGCTTGTGTGGTTGTATTGTGCAGCAAACTCTTAGAAACTAGTATTGAATTTATCTGGTTCTGATGTGACACAATCGGCGACACCCTTTAATGAATTCCCCTTTTGCTGCTGCGGTCAGTGTTGTCAGTGACCAGACACACCACAAATGGCAAATTTAATCTTCATGTAAGAGTTGTGACAGTAAAAAGAAACAAAAAATACACATCACATATTCATTCGAAGTTTTATTGGAGATAATTTAAGATGAAAGCCCTTTCACAATGTATTCAGAAAAGATGACCAGAATGTTAAAAATAAGTTGGCAAATATTCACATTTTTGTGTACAAAACAAGAAGTAATGTTGGCCATGAGTATTCACAGGGTTCAAATTCTTACCCAGTATTAAATAAAAATAAATTACCAGCAGTATATATATTTCTGCACACTTGACAGATTGTGTTTTAAAAAGCAAATAAAAACACAAAATCTACAAATGTAAAGTGTCAAAATAAAAACAACAAAAAATACAGAGAATATGGATATTTTGCAACTTTTTGAAATTCAGTCCCAAATCTCACCATATCCCATCCTGTATTTATTTACACACAAGTTCAGGGTCTACAGACGGGTACCTTCACTGACATAAGGCACAGCTAGTGGTCAGCAAATATAATATCAGAAACATCTATTGATCAGTGTGCTTTTTTCAGATTTTATTCCGTTTTTCACTCGAAAGACTTTCCAAGATGAAACAATGGAAAGCTTAATGTCAGTGGATGACTTCTCAAGTTTCATTGACTGGAACAACATCCACGTCATTTCAATAGTTGTGCAGAAAGTCATTTAGCTTACAACACATTGGTTTTCTGTTTAGATAACAATAGACCTAAGGAGACGAAAGCACAGTACAACATCCCTGGGAATCGGTGGATTGATCTCATTGCCGTCCAGTCGGAGGTAGCGAAGCCTTGGCACGCCATCGTTCGTCGAGTCATCCAGAGAATCAACGGAAACGGGACACACACTGGAGCCATTTACACCTGGAAAAGAGCGAGTAGAAGTGCAACAAGATATTTAGATTCATGTTCTACAAAACAAGATTCCCAAAACACTTTTTTCTTCAGCTAACACTTACTTGCAATCTTGTTGTGGTCAAGGTAGAGATGTTCAAGGCCTGAGGGAATGACTGGAACCTCTGTCAGCTGATTGTGAGACAACTGCAGGTCCAGCATGCTGGAGATATTAAAAATATCTTTTGGAACACCATCACTGCCGAGCTTGTTGTGGTTGAGCCTCAGAAAAGCCATTTTGGGCAAACCTTTGAAGTAGTCAGCAGGAATCTTTTCAATGTTGTTGCCATCGAGGAAAAGCTGGGTGGTGGTAGGCGGCAGTCCAAGGGGCATGCTACTCAGGTGGTTCTTGGCTAAATTTATCTGGACCAGGCTGGCGAGGCCCTTTAAGCTCACTTCAGTGACAGCGTCATCCATCAGCTTGTTCCCCTGGAGATCCAGCAAGTGTAGCTTGTCCAGGCCAACAAACACACCGGCGGGTATCTTGGAGATGCGATTGCGAGAGAGGCGTAGATGCTCCAGGCTGACTGGCAGTGGTGAAGGAACAGTAGACAGCAGATTATCATCCATGTACAAGTGGGCCAGATGTTTCATCCCACTTAGGACATCTTCGTCTACTTTGTCACTTGTAATTTTGTTGCGGTTTAGGTTTATCCAGCGCAGTTGTGTTGCATTCTGCAGTGCCTCTAATGGCATTGTTTCAATCAGATTGTTCTGCAGATAGAGATACCAGGTGTAAGGGGGGATCTTAGGGATACTCTTCAGTCCTCTGTTGTCACAGTAAACCGCTCGAGGGAAGTTTTGGGGGCAGTTGCACTCCTTAGGGCAGCCTTGTATTTGGGCAAGGAGTTCCTCGTAAGGCATGTCCTGGCTGATGGATCGTGTTACCAGGCACAAAACAACCAAAATCTTCTGGAGACCAGCCATGTTGACCTGTGTTTGAAAGAGAAAATATAACACATTTACTATAATCAAATAGGAAACCAAATTTTTATGAGTTTAGTTACTTTTGAGCAATCAAATCTTCTGTAGGGACTTTGCTGATGAGAGATACAGCATCAGCTAAATGTTAAAGGCAGCAATGTGTTTCTTAGTGTCATCACCCTGTTATTAATTTATCTTTCAAAAATCAGAAGTTAAAACATTAATTGCTTTAGACGAGTCAAAGATTTGTCCCCTCAGTAGAAATATGCTTCTTGTTCAGTTGTAATGGAAAAAACCCTTACTACTGCTTCCTACACAATCCTTTTTAGCTGATGTATGGAGACATATAAAAAAAGAAGTGTGCAATTTGTAGGGATTCAAGTTCAGTGACTGACTGTAAACATGCTAATAAAGAAGCTTTAAAAGCAAAAATCACTAGAAGAATGAACAAGGTCTAGTGGAGGTCTTGTCGGCTCCTGTCAGTCCTCCCTTTTAAACTTTCGCTTGATTTGTCTCAGCTGCCATCTGTTGCTTGTTTAAATTCTTGATGCGCTCCATGTTTGTCTGGAACTCATTTTGCATAGGGGATACTTTTCCCTGGATGAGCTCACTTCAAAGACAAAGCTGAATCACCCCTTTTCCAGAGTTGTGCCTGTGGTAAGAAAGACCAAAGCTTTTGATTTTAGTTTGTACACAAGGTGTGGCAGTATGGTGGAAATGTCATTCCACCGAGCATCAATAGGCCTGGTAGACAAAACACCAACGATGAATGGAATACAAATCTGTTTCTATCACGGAATAGCGAGTTTCATTCTAAGAAACATCTCCACCTATAATCATAGTAAAGCAAGACGAATCTCTCTTCTTCTCAGAAACTCATCTTACCTTTAATTCTCTGAAGTTTTCTTTGCAATGTCCTTCCTCAGTAGTTGATCAAGAGTGGTCCGCAATGACAGGGATGCTCGTCTTAGTTCCCTGTATTTGTACCAGAGCCTGTTTCATTCAACATGTGCCAACCTGTCACTCAGGATGACCTTAAAGCCCTTCTTAGCCAATCAGATGACCCAAACAAAGGGGGCCATAATCTCCTCGTTGTACGGGTTGTTAAGTATTTTTAGTGCTCAGTGACATGGCCCACTTTGCTTAGATGTACTTGTTCTTGGATTGCTAATGTCCACATGGACAGCCCTTCGTCCTCCTGCAGGAATGACCGATCATAAATAAATCCAGAGCCCCTCATCAACTCTTAAGCTAAATTTGTGGGTAATTTAATGAGAGGGCAATCAGGATCAATTACTCTACAAGTTACAAAGTTTATCTGCTTATAGACAACAGTGAGCGTAATGTCTGAACAAAAAGTCATGATAATGGGTAGAGACAGTCTGTCTGCCAGGCCTGTAAGAACAGGACATCATATTCAATAAGATCTAGTGACTGTCTTTCCTAGTCAGTCATTAATGCATATCTTGCTTTTATTAATATATATATATTTTTTTGGTGCAAGTACTCCTTAAACCAATGATTTTGTGTTTAGCTAAGTCTGGCTGGAGCTCTTGTTTCCATTAACCGTTATATTTTTCTATAGAAAGTACTCCTAGTCCAGTGATACTGTAACCTGAGTTAATTTTGAAGCTATTCCTGAAATATCTTCAACAAGTCTGTCATTTGGTTTTCTTCCCAAATAAAGTACAACTGGTTCAATGATGCTGCGTCTACCTCTGTCCCTTCTCCTGAATGGAGTAATTGAAGGCAGAGTTGTTGCAAAAAAAGCACAAACTTTGTTTTTCCTTCTCCAATGAAGTGTTCCTGATCCAGTGTTTCTTTCATGAATTATGCAGTTGGCTGAACTATTACTGCACTTAACTCCTGGAGAAGTCACGAGCCAATGCTTGAAAATGCTTCCTATGCTTCTGACTCCCAATCACTAACCCTATCCCTATGTTGCATAACATTTTACCAGTTGGCATGCAACGATTTAAACTGAACTGGAATGCACATGTAACCGGATCTAAATTGACCTGAATAGAACCAAATTTGTTAAAATGTGCCAGATTGATTAGACTAAATTCTATATAATTGATATTATTTTGAGCAGTTTGTCTTGTGAAGTGAATTCAGTTTGAAATTTGGTTTTAATCTTATGAGGATTTCAGGTCTTTTGAGGTTGGGATGTGTTATCTTGCCCAGATGCGCTAATATAACATCAAGCATGGAAATGAAAAAAGTCTAAGTTCAACACATTAGCTGCTGGCGCAGGAGGTAATTGTTTTACGGCACTGAGGTCATACTTAAGTTTACGAGATTTTGCTTCAGGCACAAGATGCAAATTCTTTTGCAGAGCTGAGTCAACATCAGGCTTGATGGCCTTTTAACATGCAGGCATGAGACTGTGCTCACTTCTAACGATGACGGCAAAGGATCAAATACGAGATAATCCCGGGCAACCTGTGAGGATAGAAGCAACACTTATCCTTGATCAGCAGTGCAAGCCCATTAGAGTTCCTCCAGTTTGTCCCGTGGTGTAGTTGTGTGCATTGGTAATTGATCTATGCAAATTTGGAAGATTGCATAATGGATTAATAATCTAAAACTGGATTTTCTGAAAAAAAATCCCAACAAATTTTATACTGTAAACAACTCTATAGGTTTTCAATAGAGCAGATTCATCAATTCCCATGTCAATTAAAGTAAAGAGTTTTTTTTGTCACAATGGTTTGCAAATTAGGAGTAATATGAGGAGAATCTTACTAAGAAGACTTTTAATATATTAACAGCAGCTCTTCTAATTAATCTGTCTACTTCATGAAGCCTCATTGCTAAGGTTAGCCTGATGCAGCTCCTCCATCCTGCTGGCTGAGTCATGGCATTTAGAGTTTGCTGCTACTTTTATCAGGACATTTCAAACTTTACTAGCGACAGAAACATCAGAGCTGCTTTGCAGGCAGTTGAGCGGCAGCACATGGTTCATGTGTGCCCTGAATGCTGACACCACATTTTCACTCAGATTTCCAAACCCGTGAATCGCAGAGTTCATTGAAGGTCAATCAGATTGCTCATCAAAGTAAGTCCTGCTGGGTTTTAGCTCAGCAGGACGTCAGGAATGTGCAAAAACTACCAAGAACTGATGCCACCGAGATCATCTCTGGAAAAAAAAGTAAAATACTTGTGTGCCAGATTTGCTGCTGAACAGTGAGTCACAGCTTCACTGTGTCTGTAAAATGAAACGCATATTTACTGAAAACAAATATTTGCAACATCGTGCCTGAGAAAACTAAAGAGAAACACATGCTGAGGATTCTCATAGTACTAATTTCCTGCCAGGATCTTTACACTGAGCCAGTTATTATAATTACACAACAGCCTTTATGTGCACAGTATGAGTTTGCAGAACTGCATCCAGTTTTCCTGTGTTTTAAAACTGTGGGAGTTTGTTAGTAGGGATCGTTATATCTAGAGTTGAGAGTAGTTAACCCAGTATGTGGGTAATTATTGCATAATTCACTGACCCATGTTGTTCACAATAGTACATTTGAAAAGTGGAGCAAAGTTGAGTCTTACTTTTTTTACAATTTGTAAATCTAAGATTTAGATTTCAAAACTAGTCAAGATGTGGTATATCTTGCCTTTCAGTTTTGGCATGAAGGTCAGACAATAAAAGCTGTAACAAAAATTTACATTAGTCCCACCATTATACAAGTTTAACAACAACAATTAACAAAATGTATCACAAAATAAGAAAACTAACATCATTACCTACTTTTCCAGGTGAAGTGAGGGATCTGTTTGCAGACAGGTGAGGTTTGGCCAACGCGCCTCTCCAGACTCGGTGTTGATTGTCCTCTCACTGCAGTCAGTGATTGGACCTCAGTTGCTGTTGGATCTTCATGCAACACCTTGCACACCGGTTGAACCGAGTGGTGAGAGCAAGTCTTGTCGGTGGGAGGACGACTGCGAGCTGGGATGTCCCTTCAGAAATTGTCACTTAACATTTTCTGCCAACCCAGCAGTTTTTCTCCCACCTCTTTCAACTTTTTATTCCAAAATCTTCAGCAGTCAGTTGGCTTCAGAGCCATGAAGTGCTGGAACCCCTCCCAACTAAACCATTTTTTAAAAAAAAAAAAAAAAAGGAGGATTTGCTTTTGACTCATAACTTGTGAACGAGTACCAGACAAGTTTATGCTTTGGTTTTAGCGAGCAGGCCTTGGGGTGTAATATTAAGCTGACAGGTGAGGTTGTAGAGGAGTTACCTGCCCCTCTTTTGCTACAACCCGAGGCTAATGTCCAAATCCTAAAGTAGAAAGGATTTTTGTCAAATACAATGTTCAGACAGGATTCCTCCCTTGCAGAAACTTTAAATGTCTGTTTAATTGTTCTCAATGGAGGCTGAAACTTTGAGGTTTTGGTAAATTTTGCAGCGGCTTAGAATAAAATGTCTTGTTAAAAGAGATTTTTGAACACAATGTGCAAAACATAGACAAACCATTTCAACTCTTTTCCAGATTCAAGTATGCCCTGTAAAATTCAAATGAAAAACAGCTTTATGAGCAAAAAATCTTTAAAAAAAATGCGATGATCCAGTAATTTAATCAAAGAGATTAAATTACTGAAACCTGGATAAAAGATGGTGATAAAAGAGCCACATTTTCTCAAATTTACCTAGAAATTGGACTGTAAGGAAGGTAAATAAAATCTCCAGAGCTCATGGGTAGCAGAGACGTTCTCCATAACCATAATTTATTTTAAGATTTTTACATATCTTTTAAAACAGCCTATTCCCTAGACTCTAACATTTACCTTTCGTTTTTGTTAGTAAAAATCTTTTTACTTTTCTAATTAAGCAAATGTGAATATTTCAAATATTCACGTAAAAAACAAAAGAAGTAAATGTCTAAGAAAACATGACCTGATGACAGAAGAAAAAAGTGAAAGGAAATCTGAAAAAGGAGATGGAGAACAGATGAGGGGGATGATGGATGGACGTAGAAAATGAGTGCAAGCAGGGAGAACAGCTGGAGACGGTCTGACTGGAGGATAAACTTTGGGGGCCGCCGAACGGCAAAAGCTGATTGTACGTTCACTCGCTGTCTGAAGTGGGAAGATTTGAGGCTTACCGCTTCATGAAGGACTTTATTGTCTAGACACAGACAGCAGGAGCTTTACTCCTGGATTTTAAATAAGAGCAACAGCAGAGGGAGAAGGAGGAAATTGCCCTAGATTTAGAATCGGTGCAAATGACTGTATGAAAACATGTGAAATATAGAAGCAGTTGTTAAAGCAAACATGTAACATGATGTAAGATGGTAATGGGAGTGTAACTTGCAGATTTTTTACTCTTCTGAGTGGTATTGGGTTACAGCAAAAATTGTTAATGCAGATTTATTTCAGGAGAAAGTGGTGCAAGTGCTTCGCTTCATGATTCGTTTCATTTTCAGTGAGCTGGGATGAGATCTACTGATGCTGCGCCTACGGATAGTTTTTTGTTGTTCAACCATTTGCAGTGTTGGGGTTAGTGTTGTTAAAATTCATTTCACATAAAGGGGAGCCTTCACCTCAAGCCAAGCAAGTAGGTAAAAAAAACAAACATTCAATATGAAGAGATGCAATCAGACTTTTCATGGTTTGACATTTTATCAGACTAAAATTTTCCTGTTTTGTGTCAGAATCCACAAAATTATTTGTATTTACTAAATAAGACATTTTTAACATTTATTTCTTATCACTTTCTTTAAAGTCTGAAGTCTATTTACACTGAGATTGTGATCTGTTTGGACAGTTTGGTGAAGCCATGATGCCTTTGCTGTGAGCCTCTGAAAGGCTAATTTATGTTTGTGGATGAATTAAGGCGACACCTCAAACGTACCGTCTTCAAGAAGATATTTTTGCACCATCAGAATTATTTCCAAGATTCCATTTGATTTCTTTTGGTTGAAGATAGGATCAGGCACAATTAAAAAAAAAAAAAAAACCCCTCCCCTGAAAATATCCAAAAT